ATAACTAAGGAATAAAAAAGCCCTTAGTTTTGAGAAGAAACAAGAAAGCCATGGTCTCTAAAATAGAGAAAATGTTCTTTACACCTAGAAGATGATATATTGTGTCCCTATACAGTTTAGGGTTGATAATATCTACAATTGCAGGCTATCCAATCCAGGATTACTTTGGAGAAGGTAAATCCTTCCAGAAACAGATAGGACAGAGACATACAGGGAGGAACAAGCATTTGAAGATAATATGAAAATGGCAGCTTTGCTATTGCATAAGTGTGCTTCCTGTTGCTGAGTGTTTGAAAGAAAAAATTCCAACTTATTACAATATCGACAAGGTAAAAAACACAGTTAAATAAAGGGTAAAGGAAGCCGTTTGTTATTCAACAAAGCACCATCACGCATGTATTAAGAATACTTAATATCAATATGACTACAAGATGTTAGTTTGTTAAATTGTTTACAATAATAAAGTACTTGTTTACCTGTACTCAAATATGTAATAGCTATTCAACCAGTTAATAATGTTGACTATATATATATATATATATATATATATATATATATATATATATATATATATATATATATATATATATATATATATATATATATATATATATATATATATATATATATATATATATATATTATTAATCTACATGAAAAGAGGTATTTACTAAATAAGAAATAAAATGAAGATTGAGTCAACAAATTTTGGAACACTGAAAATTGATAGACACAGTGGGAACTTAACCCTAACTGAAAACCTCACCTCAGTTGGGGTGATTTCTCTAACCCAACTTCTACATTTGGTGAACCTTTCTTGAAGCGCAACAAGAACGATTTGCATGAAACCCAAGTGGGTGCAAGAGAGAATGGGATTTGTGACAGAGAGTGATAGAGTCGCACAACTGCAGAGAGAAACTGGGAGAGAAGGCGCACTAAACCAATCTCTCGCTGTACCTCAGCAGGTCATTAAATATAAATTTTGGCTGTCATCCACGATGTATTCCCATTCATTGGAATTGTAAATTAGTGCCTGATGAAGACACACTGTTTTACTGTTGCTAGCTCATGAAACCCATCCGCCAATATGTCAGAAGGTAAAACACAAAACAAATATAGTGCATCATTGATTTTCTTTTGTATTTCAAACATTGTGGTTTTACCCACTGTACCCTGCCAAGTTCCTTCTTTGTTGCAAGGTTAGCACTCTGATCAGGTGAGAGGAGAAAGAAATACTGTATGAGCACTGAAGACTTTCAACGGCACCTTTGGCAAAGGATAAACAAGCACACATACAGAGAGATCAACTAAGGCTGGAAGTGATTCATAGACTGTGGAGTACATGCAGGTAAACTAAAACTGAGTTTCCTCTGTTCTCTCAAATGGCTTTAGCTGTGGCACTTTGCTGCCTTCCAAGAAGCTGGAGTAAAAGCTTCTAATCCTAAATTAAGATTAGTGTTTCCAGACATCCTACACATTTTTTCATACAGTTTCCCAGAGAAGAAAAGTTGAAGTACAGAAAGTAAAAAGCCAGAAAAGATATTAGTTTCGACTGTTTGCATTTTTCCACCTCTTCAGGTGTGAAAACCAAATTGCTTAAAGAGGCAATGCAGTTACTTTACATTCATAATGTAATCTGATCCCATTTATAAAAGCAAAATAAAGAGTGTTCCCACTTTTTGCAGATGAAGAAGGGTTTTACCATGAATAGAGGGCTGACTTATGTGGATGACAGTATAGAGACAATCCCAATGAAGACAGATTTTCTTAGCAAAATCACTGATGGCACAAATCTGAGAAATTTTTAATTTTAAATCTGAGACATTTTTTGATTTACGTTTTACCATTTCATGTTAATCACACTTTCTAGGAACCTATAATTGATAATCCTGGACTTTCATTTTTTTTTTATTTTAATATAAATATGACCTAGCACATATACTTTCAACCACAGACTCCTGGTCTCATCTATTTTCCAAGAAGTGAACAGGATAGTAAAATTTTTAAAATAATCTTCAAAACGTACTTTTAAAGAAATGCTGCAAATAGATATCTTAGGGTAAAAAAAAATATTAATTATCACTCTTAGACACATTCTTGTTGAGTTGTATTTTTGGGAGTGAATCCAAAAAAAGTATGTAGTTGTGATACCCCTCTCTGAGTAATGTATACATGTAACATTTACTTAACTATATCAGGATTGTAGCGGTACCTGTGGACTTGTGGTCAGATTTAGGCATAACTTACAAAATAAGTAGATTGCCTGTTTAATATATAATCCTTAAAACTTTTTTGACACAATTCGTTTTCCTTCTCTTTTTTCCTGGTCAATGATTCTGGTTATCTTTAGCAGCTCCTATTAGTACTGGCGGTTTCATGGCAGCTTCTCTTTATTATAGCTCCCATTTCTTTTTGTTTTAAGCAGCTGCTATGGCTAATGATCATTTTCAGGTTTTTTGCACAGTGGGAATAACAGGTTGAGCAAAACAACACTGGGAGACTATTATGACATTATATGGATGACCGCTGTTGGTCAAAGATGTTGTTACTGAGGGTGCTTTTTTAAATGAGTGTTATTAGTTTTATTGAAGCCTTATGGTAAATGGAATGGAACTTAAATAGCACTTTTTTCTTATTATGACCACTCAAAGCATTTTTAACAAATGATTCTCATTCGCTCAGCTGCAATCTCATATTTATACACTGAAGTGCATGTTCAAGGACACATGAACATGTGACAAGAGCTGGAAACGAAAGTCTCTTTTTTAAAGCCTCCATGTAGTTGGCCCAACTCCACCCAGACCGCTTTGCGAGCATTTCCATTTCAGTTTTTTATTTGTACCTATAACTGGCTTATTTTGTGCCTTTTTCAAAATGTTATATAAGAGGGGCTGAGTAGGGACAAAAAGTGACAGGAACAGACTGTTCACTTTTGCTGTTTACAAGAAACATGAAGATTTTTGTTGAGGAAGTGCAGCGGAAAGGTGAACTGAAGAGAGAGAAGATTAACATTAAGGACCTGCATGAACGGAGCAAGTCAAAACAAAATTAAATTTTGGTTTGACTCTATTATTTAGAAAACTATTATGTTTTGTTTCTGTAACCCACATGTATATGTGTGATACTGTTAGTAGTATTTTATTTCTGTAGGATTTTGTTTTGTTATTTAATGTTCCCAGCAATTCAGTTTATATTTTCATTTTGAGTTTTCTTGTCATACCAGAAACCGCCAGCAGGTGGCTTGTGAGTTACACTCTGGTTTAGACAGCGGAAAATTATTAGAAGAAGAAGAAAACCGTAGCTGGCTGTAGCACATTGTGGGAATTACTGCATGCTATAAGATAAATTCTTGATAAATTCCGGTAAGGATTAAGAGAAAAGAAGATCCGTGACCTGATCCCTGGCAGTAAAACACATTTTTACTGTGATTTTCTCTGGTGAGTGTTGTAACATGTTTTTGCAACCGAAATCAAGCTAATGCTTACTGGCGTCACAGGCATTACTGCTCATATATTCCGACAAGGAAGAACAGAGAAACGTAAATAATACCAATCGGAGAAATGTGTGAGATTAAAATGATGATTTTCACTGTATTGTATTTTTGTTATGTACAAACTAAGAGGTCGGATACAGTGTGATACGTTTGTTTTGCAAGCTTGCCATTAGTTGAATATTATTTTTGTGATAAATGGAATTTATTGCTTCCTGCATACTTTTGAAACTTAATAGTTAATTAAGTTCTATATATATATATGCAGGTGGGTTTTTTTAGAACCCCATTCAACTTTGAAGACTGTCCAGCTGCACAGCATCGCAGGCCTGGATTGGATTGCTGAGCTCCAGGTTTCAACCCAAGACCTGGGACTGCTGGATCCGCTGCCTACTTTGCACTGGATAAGATAAGATTTTGAATCCAAAGAAACACATGGCCATTTAACAAAGACTTGACTGACTGACTTAAATTACTGAACTAAAAAAAAACAAAACTTCTAAAGGACGAACTGAACTATAAGGAATCTGAACCAAAAGAAAATACACTGCCTGATATAAAAAAGGTGGACACTTTATGTTGGGAAAAAGAACTGTACAGTAACATTCTGTTTCAAGTTGTATTAAATAATCTGTTCATTCTTGATAATATGGTTGTTTGTGCTTATTATCCTCCTTTTTGAACTTAGAAAGATAAACTAACTGTAACTTCAACATTGAAATCTAAGTTTCTCAGCTTATCTATTCGTAAGTTACACTAGTGGTTACATAAGTGGCGAGCCAGCCAGGAGGATTTTAGGCTATAAACAACCAATATAAATAATTGATTAGTGATCAGTGTGTTATTTGATCACAGTGATCGGATAAGAGCGTGATCAAATATTGTCTGAAAATAACCAGACAAAATATGGCTTCTGTTGCTGACATTGGTAGCGAGCATGGTGTAAATGACAGAAAATCAATCCTTTTGAAGGGCATACTTGATGATGACACAGATGAAGACATTGTAGAGGCTGTATCATTATATGGTAGTGTCAGTAAAATAGTGAGACTCAAAGACTTTCAAGTGATTGTTGAGTTTGACTCAGAAGAGTCGCTAAAGCTCATCAGTTTCCCCTCTGTGATACAGTCTCCTAAGAACCCAGTCTCAAAATGGTGTTTGGACAGGGTTGAGGTTTTAACTACTCCCACACAATCACAGTCAGCCATTGATGAAAACCCTGAAGCCACATGTTCCTTTAAAACTGTGCAGAATGAACGGGGTAGCTCAGATAGTACTGGAAGTGAATCAGACAGCAGTGGATCATCTGTTATATTCAGTCCTCAAAAATCACAACCTCCACCCAGTAAACCATTAAAATCTGTCTCCAAATCACAAGGTGGAACTGAGAAGCTTAAGAGGACAAGAAAGGGACAGGCAGTACGACCAAAAGAACAAGCCAAGGGCACTGCCACAACCCTAGACTCTGACATACTAAACCCACCAGATGTACAACGAATAATAGTGGAGCATGTCATTAAGAGTGAAGCTACGACAGCTCCAGGCTCCAAGAGACTGCGTTCCTTCTCAGGCAGAGTTCCTATACCGCCTGGTGAAGTGGATTTTGAAACATGGTGTTTACATGTTGAACTTATGTTTCAGGATGGCTATACAATGGATGTGCAGCGACGACTGATTCTGGAGAGCTTACTGTCGCCCGCGGCAGACATTGTAAGACAACTAGGCTCCCAGTCACCTCCTCAAGACTATGTAAAACTCCTCCAGTCAGCCTATGGCCTTGTTGACGACGGGGAGGAGATCTTTGCCAGGTTCCTCAGTACTCATCAGGACGCAGGTGAGAAAGCATCTGAATACATTCAGAGACTGCAGACACTTCTCAGCACTGCGATCAGACGGGGTGGTGTAAGTGAGGCCAATGCTAGTAGACAACTTTACAAACAGTTTGTGCGTGGTTGCTGGGACCAGACTTTACTGTTGACCCTGCAACAGAAACTGAGAAATGATCCTGCCCCAAATTTTTCAGAGCTTATTCTTGAATTAAGAACTGAAGAAGAAAGAAGATCTCTAAAAGTAGACAGAATGCAACGTCACCTTGGAGGGTTTAAAGCAAAACCTCTTGCCCAGTTTCATGGCATTCCAGATCCCACCCCCACAACTAATCAAGACACAGATTTAATGCAGAAATATATAACAGAGACTGAGAACTTAAGGAAACAAGTGGCTGAACTTAAACTACAGCTAACTGAAAAAAGAGCCCAAAGACGGAAGAAACACGAACAGAAACATGCCAGTGCTTCAGAACCTCAACCACCACATTTTACAGAACTGCAAGCACATCAACCTGTACACAGATCGGCTCCAAAAGCGTGGTTTTGTTTTAAATGTGGTGAAAATAACCACATTGCCCGAGAGTGCATCAATGTTCCAAACAAAGACCTTGTTGATAAAAAGAACAAAGAATTAAAGGCGAAACAACAAGAGTGGCAAGCTAAATATGCCCCAGCTTTAAACTGGACAGGGTTTCAGTAGAGGGACGCACTGAGACCTTATCAGAGTTTAGTCCCAATTCGGAGCAAAGTCCAAAGCCAGCACAAGATAACCAAAAGAACAAAAGACTGAAACAAATAGATGACATTACCAACTCCTGTTCAGCATTATCGGAGGAGGCTCTTTTGAGTGCTCTGGTTGGGTCAAAACGTACTGCTAGCTTGACTATTGATGGGGTTCACAGCGTGTGTCTTCTAGATTCTGGCTCCCAGGTAACCACAGTATCAGAGACATTTCACAAACTACACCTACCTGCACGCCCGATTCAGTCTGTGGCCAAATTGCTTGACATAGAGGGCGCAGGGGGTCAGCAAGTACCCTACTTGGGTTACATAGAACTCAATTTGTGTTTTCCAAAAGAGGTTACTGGGAGACCCGAGGAAGTGAATACCCTAGCACTCATTGTACCAGACTGCAGATCAAACCAAGAGATTCCAGTTCTCATTGGGACAAATGTTTTAGATGTGCTTTATGAGACATTCACATCCTACAAAGAGTCAGACACAAGTGTCAGACATTGTGACAGCATTCCAGTGATCCAAACCATGTTCAACAAAATCAAAGTTGATAAGAGAAGTGGTAAAACAGGAAAAGTTAAGCTGTTGAGCAGAAAATGTGTCACAGTACCAGCTGGTGAAAAAGCTGTATTGACAGGCTATGCCAGACATGTTGATATAAACCCAGGTAGTCCTCTGCTAGTAGAATCCACAGCATCATGCTTGCCTGGGGGTTTCCTATTTTGCAACTACATTATGACAGCTCCCTCAAAGGCTTCCTTTAAGCTTCCTATTCTGGTCAAGAACGAGAGTGCTCATACAATCAGAATCCCTGCTGGTCAAACAGTGGCTGAACTGTATGCCCCCTTGTCAGTGTGCTCTTTAGCTTCAGGCTTGAGTAGTAACACAAGGACTAGCTCTCAGTCTCCAAAGTCTGTTGCCGAGTTTGATAACATCAAAACCACCACAGACAGCCCACTTAAGTTTGACTTAACTGATACTCCTCTCTCCGAAGAATGGAGGCAGAGAATTATGGAAAAGCTCAACTCAATGTCAGATGTTTTTGCCATGCATGATTTGGATTATGGACACACAACTGCTGTGAAGCATCACATTCGACTTTCGGATGCAACTCCATTCAAACAACGACCCAGACCTATACACCCCTCGGACTATGAAGCTGTCAGACAGCATTTAAAAGAACTTTGTGAGGCTAATGTTATTCGTGAATCTGAGAGTCCATTCGCATCACCGATTGTGGTGGTTAAAAAGAAAAACGGGGCCATTAGGTTATGCGTCGATTACAGAAAATTAAACAATCAAACCATCAAAGATGCATACGCCCTACCAAACATTGAAGAAGCTTTTTCAGCCTTAACAGGCTCAAAATGGTTTTCTGTTATGGACTTAAAGTCTGGATATTATCAAGTTGAGGTTGAGGAAAGTGACAAACATAAGACAGCATTTGTTACTCCTGTGGGATTTTGGGAGTTTAATAGAATGCCCCAGGGAGTTACCAATGCGCCTAGCACATTTCAACGTGTTATGGAAAAGTGCATGGGAAGTCTGAACCTCAAAGAGGTCCTAGTCTTTCTAGACGACCTCATTGTGTTCTCAAGTTCATTGGAGGAGCATGAGGAGCGCCTCATGCGTGTCCTGTCAAAACTCAGAGAATTTGGACTCAAACTTTCCCCGGACAAGTGCCATTTTTTCAGGAAGTCTGTTAAATATCTCGGTCACATTGTCTCAGAGAAAGGCGTGGAGACTGACCCTGAAAAAATAGCTGCCCTCACCACCTGGCCAAAACCCAGAAACATAAAAGAGCTCAAATCATTTTTAGGGTTTGCAGGCTATTACAGGAGGTTCATTAAGGACTACTCTAAAATCGCAAGGCCCTTAAATGATCTCACTGCAGGTTGTTACCCCCCCAGAAGGTCTAACAGAGCAGGAACAAAGCACAGCTCTACTATAGATCCAAGGAGACCTTTTGCTGATAAGTGGACTGCAAACTGTGACGAATCCTTCAACACTCTGATACACAAACTGACAACAGCTCCAGTTTTAGGCTTTGCAGATGCTAAACAGCCCTACATCCTTCATACGGATGCAAGCATTCATGGACTTGGTGCAGCTCTTTACCAAGAGCAAGATGGGCATCTGAGGGTAATAGCTTTTGCAAGCCGGGGTCTGTCCAACTGTGAAAAAAGATACCCAACACATAAACTGGAGTTCCTTGCCCTAAAATGGGCAGTAACGGACAAGTTTTTCGATTATCTCTATGGTGCCAAGTTTACTGTTGTGACGGACAATAACCCTTTAACATATGTCCTGACGTCCGCCAAGTTAGATGCAGCTGGTCACAGATGGTTGGCTGCACTTGCCACCTTTGACTTTCGTATTCAGTACAGGGCTGGAAAATCAAACCAAGATGCCGACGGTCTCTCCCGCAGACCTCATGTACAAGATGAAATGGACAACTCTGCTAAAGATGAGGACGACCGTATTGACCGGTTCATGTCTGACATCACTCAGAACGTAACTGTTTCTCCAGAAGTAGTACGTGCAATATGCCAACGACACATTGTCCACTCAGAATTTCAACCACAGTCTGAGTTGCCCTTCCTTGGCTTTATTGAGTGCATTGCTATTGATGCAAATGCTATTCCACCAGATTACAGCCACACAGACATTTTGCCTGGCTCATGCACTTTGCCACAAATGTCTCAACGTGACTGGGCTTTAGAGCAGAAGAAAGACCCATCCATCAGCAGGGTCATAACTTTGTTAATGGGGGGGAGGAGACCACCTCACAGGACGCGACAAAAGGAAGACAGAGAAGTCCAGCTCATGTTACGGCTATGGGACCAACTAGTTATGAGAGATGAAGTGCTTTACCGGAAAAGACTTCTAAATGGTGTACCATCTTTCCAACTAGTTCTGCCGAGGACTTTTCGAAATGAGGCTTTGGACAGCCTACATGACTGTATGGGACATATGGGTGTAGATCGCACCACAGATCTGGTTCGTGCACGCTTTTATTGGCCACGCATGCTCACTGACATAAACAACAAAATACACACATGTGAGAGGTGCATCAGACAAAAAGCCAGAGCTGAACACAGTGCCCCTTTGGTGAACATTTGTACCAGCAGACCGCTGGAGCTAGTCTGCATGGACTATCTGTCCTTGGAATCTGATGAAAAAGGGTCAAAAAATATACTCGTAATTACTGACCACTTCACCAAGTACGCAGTGGCAGTACCCACAGTTGACCAAAAAGCAAAAACCGTGGCCAAAGCCTTGTGGAATAATTTTTTTATTCACTATGGCCTGCCGGAGCGTTTGCATAGTGATCAGGGCCGGGATTTTGAGTCCACACTGATCAGAGAGCTATGCAATCTGCTTGGAATAAAAAAAACAAGAACGACTCCTTATCATCCACGTGGCAATCCTGTGGAAAGATTTAACAGGACACTCCTTGCCATGTTGGGCACCTTACAAGAAGAGGATAAGTTAAGGTGGAGAGATTTTGTGCAGCCATTGGTGCATGCCTATAATTGCACGAAAAATGACACGACTGGATACTCACCTTATCAGCTCATGTTTGGAAGACAACCAAACTTACCCATTGACATTGCATTTGGACTCGACAAGCCTACTGGGAGGGGCGAAACACATAGTCAGTATGTAAAAGGCCTTAGAGACAGTTTGACAGAGAGCTACAAAATTGCTATTGAACATAGCGAAAAGACTGCCTCTTACAACAAACAGAGATTTGACAACAAGGTGAGGGAGTCTAAGCTGGAAGTGGGAGATCGTGTGTTAGTGAAAAATGTAGGTCTCCGTGGTAAACACAAGATTTCCAACAGGTGGACTAACACTGTTTACAAAGTGATCAAACAGATAGAAGACCTCCCTGTTTATGTAGTAGCTCCCTTTGATGATGTGGGTCCAGAAAGAGTCTTGCATAGAGACTTGTTGCTGCCCTGTGGTTTTCTGTCAGTTGCAAAAGAGCAACCTGAGCCCATAACACAAACCCAAACAAGGAAGTCTAAAAGACTACAGTCAAGTGCAACAAAAAGAGGTGCTGGAAATGAAGTTCCAGAGGATTCGCTGCTGGACAGCGAGGATGAAGATGTGGAGTATTATTACTATCCTCCAACAAAGATGTTGACTGATGTTGGAACCCGAAACGATGATGAACAGGACAGAGACATGCAAATTGGATCTGAAGACCAAATGTTGGACACAAATGAACTTGCCAGTGAGAGAACAGAAACTGACAATACAGAACAGGACGTGACAAACGAACATGTTTCAGTGCCATCACTTAATCCTGAAGCTTCACCATTTGAGCCACAAGAGCCAAAAGAGACCATATCAGAAGAGCAGCAGCTCAAGGGTGAGTTAACCCAGTCACTCACACCTCGAATGTCCATCCAACCACCAGACCATGTCATAATAGATATTGACAACCCTGAAACATCTGAAACTGTTATCCCTATTGGAACGGACAACCATGAAGAGAATGTTGAAGTAAGGAGATCAACAAGAGAAAGAACCCATCCCAAGAGACTCACCTACCCATCCTTAGGAAACCCACTTGTGGTAGTTATGCAGTCTTTACTTGGTGGCTTAGACAAAGCACTACAAATAGCCCTTGAACGTGACTTTTATGCCCCTGTATTTGATGCTTAGGAGATGTTGACATGCAGGGACGCATGCAATTAATGGGGGGGAGGATGTAACCCACATGTATATGTGTGATACTGTTAGTAGTATTTTATTTCTGTAGGATTTTGTTTTGTTATTTAATGTTCCCAGCAATTCAGTTTATATTTTCATTTTGAGTTTTCTTGTCATACCAGAAACCGCCAGCAGGTGGCTTGTGAGTTACACTCTGGTTTAGACAGCGGAAAATTATTAGAAGAAGAAGAAAACCGTAGCTGGCTGTAGCACGTTGTGGGAATTACTGCATGCTATAAGATAAATTCTTGATCAATTCCGGTAAGGATTAAGAGAAAAGAAGATCCGTGACCTGATCCCTGGCAGTAAAACACATTTTTACTGTGATTTTCTCTGGTGAGTGTTGTAACATGTTTTTGCAACCGAAATCAAGCTAATGCTAACTGGCGTCACAGGCATTACTGCTCATATATTCCGACAAGGAAGAACAGAGAAACGTAAATAATACCAATCGGAGAAATGTGTGAGATTAAAATGATGATTTTCACTGTATTGTATTTTTGTTATGTACAAACTAAGAGGTCGGATACAGTGTGATACGTTTGTTTTGCAAGCTTGCCATTAGTTGAATATTATTTTTGTGATAAATGGAATTTATTGCTTCCTGCATACTTTTGAAACTTAATAGTTAATTAAGTTCTATATATATATATGCAGGTGGGTTTTTTTAGAACCCCATTCAACTTTGAAGACTGTCCAGCTGCACAGCATCGCAGGCCTGGATTGGATTGCTGAGCTCCAGGTTTCAACCCAAGACCTGGGACTGCTGGATCCGCTGCCTACTTTGCACTGGATAAGATAAGATTTTGAATCCAAAGAAACACATGGCCATTTAACAAAGACTTGACTGACTGACTTAAATTACTGAACTAAAAAAAAACAAAACTTCTAAAGGACGAACTGAACTATAAGGAATCTGAACCAAAAGAAAATACACTGCCTGATATAAAAAAGGTGGACACTTTATGTTGGGAAAAAGAACTGTACAGTAACATTCTGTTTCAAGTTGTATTAAATAATCTGTTCATTCTTGATAATATGGTTGTTTGTGCTTATTATCCTCCTTTTTGAACTTAGAAAGATAAACTAACTGTAACTTCAACATTGAAATCTAAGTTTCTCAGCTTATCTATTCGTAAGTTACACTAGTGGTTACATTTCCAAAAGGTTTTTGGTTCAAACGTTATTCATGGACTTAATTAAACCACTGTATGTCAAAGGAGGGAGAAGGCAGAGAGCAGATATGCCTTCAGGCATTCTGCCTTTACCAGATCTGATGCAAAGAACACTCCCCGGAATCAGTGGAGTGAATCCAGCCTATAAAACAAATTTCACCTTGGTGAAAAGTATACAGTGCTGAGCTTTAAAGTCATATGTCAAAAATATACTCATAAAGCTCTAAAGTTAAACTGCATCATGCAAATTCAGAGCACATCAGAGAGCCATGTTTTCCTTCTAAATACATGTACAACTAAAAAAAAGATATGCCTTTGTCATGATCGGTTCTCTAATGGAGACCCAAAGATGCAGAACACCACTGACGGACACAGGATGAAAAGTTTAACAAGTTTATTTGCACAATTACACTGAATATGCAGAAGGCTGGTTCGGGCCTGGATTCTGGTTTCACCGGAGTCTGCGTGAGAGACAGCACAGTTAAGGACTGTTGACGGGGTTTGGTTTCCAATGATGCACAGATAGTACCTTGAGGGTTCTTGAGGTTCTCTTTGGGAGAGTCACTGTTGGTTCTGGAGAAGGATTTAGTAGCAGAGTCCGTTAGCTGCTCCAGCGTCTCACGTCTAGTTTGAGCAGACCTTGGCCTTGGTTTCCCAGCTCTAGCCCAGAGCTGCTTGGAGGTTGTCTGAGAATCTTCAGGGTTTGGCTCTGAGGGTCGGCTCGGCAGGTTAGCTCTTCCAGAGCTTTCACGGAGGAAGCACGAGTTTCCTAGAGGCACAGAAACAGAGGTTAGCATCCAACTAGGGATTAGAGTCATGGAGATAATCACTGAGATCTAGGCTTTAGTGCTGACCAACTGGAACAACACTGCGGCGTTGAGGCAAGATCTGAAAGCAGCTTAAGTAGTGGATCCTCTGATGATCTAGATGAGCTGCAGCTGTGCAGGAGGCTCCCTCAGAGGATCCACAGCGGACTCTGCTGGAGAAAGATGGGATTTTCTCCAGCTCCCAACAGTACCCCCCCCTCAAGGGCGGATTCCAGACGCAATGGACAAGACCTAGGGAGACAAGAAAGCAACAAAAAACATCCCACCAAGGGTGGGCGCAGGGGGCACCAAGCTAGGTAGGCAAGAAGCTGAGTCCATAACAAAAAAAAACCAACCCACCCAGGGTGGACGGAGGGAAACAAAAAGGAAAAAACAAACTGAGTCCCAGAACAAAAAACAATCCACAAAAGGTGGACGGCAACAAAGAAAGTCTCAGATATTTTACCGGGAGACACCTGGTAGCAGCTCAAAAAAAGGTGCAGGGCGGGAACTGGTTGAAAGACTGGAAGCATGGCAGGAGGGAGACCACGACTCAACATGTCTACGAGTCCAATCTATATGAGGGTTGTGTTGCTCCAACCACTCATAGCCCAGAACCAAAGGTGAACAGGCTGATGGATAAACCAAAAAGGTTATGGTCTCTCTGTGACTACCAGAAACTTGGAGTTGAAGAGGCTGAGTCTTGTGGGTAACCTGGTGTAGACTCCTTCCATCAATGGCTGAGACGTTGAAAGGCTTCCTCAGAGGGATGGTCTCAATGTTCAGCTGTTGAACTAGATTTGGGTCAATAAGGTTTCTCTCACAACCAGAGTCTATGAAAGCCGACAGAGTGAGAGCCTGATTAGAACTAAACAGAGTGGCAGGTAACAAAAGATGAGGAGGCCTCCTATTTAAATCATGCTTCACCAGACTCCTCTTAAATCCGGATGACCCCCGAAGCCCTTTCTTCGCAGGACAGGAGAAAACAAAATGTCCAGGTCTACCACAATAGAAGCAAAGTTTCTCCTTAAGCCTTCTCTTCCTCTCATCGGGCGTGAGCCTGGTGTGACCTATCTGCATAGGCTCCCCCTCCGCAGCTTCACAAGCTGGCGGAGCAAAGTGAGCATTTGACGCAGGTATTAGTTCAGGCTGAGCACGGCTCTCTGTGCTGAATGCCTCTTCGTGAGAAACAAAGGGAGGGGTGTCCCTTCTCTTAGCCGTAGAAACAGAAACAGGTAGAACATGGCTCTTAATTTTAGACCTTGATCTGGTTCGAAGACGGTTATCCAAACTAATTGTCAGCCTAATTAGTTCCTCAAGGGTCTCAGGTGACTCGAGTGTGGCGAGTTCATCTTTTAAGTTCTCGTTTAAAGCGTTGAAAAATGCACTCTTAAGAGCACATTCATTCCAGCCTGAGGCTGCAGCTTTAACCCGGAAGTCTATGGAAAAATCTGCTACAGAGGAATTTCCCTGTTTAAGATTTAACAGAGCTCGAGAGTCAATTGTTTGGTCAGAATCTTGGTTGAAAACCTGAGAAAATTCGGAGATGAAGTCTGAATAATAGCCATTAAGGCTGTCGTCGGTAGGAAATCTAGCCTGAGCCCACTCCAAGGCTCTTCCTGTTAGCTGAGAAAGGATGAAGTTTATCTTCCTGTAATCTGTGGAAAAGCTGCCTGGAGAGTTCTGGAAAATAAGTCGGCATTGAAACAAAAACCCTTTACATTTGCTAGGGATACCTGAAAATTTCTCTGGAAGAGACGGGCGAAATTCCGGAAGTGACGAGACAGGCTCTGGTTCCGGAAACAGAAGTTGAACGGGCTCCGCTCTGGGAGCTGATTGTGTGGAAAACTCCTGCGGAGACTTATTAAGTCGAGTGTTGAGCTCACCCATGATTATGTCCACAAGCCGGTCCTGAATATCTCGAATGGCGCACTCAATTCTTCTAGCCAATTCTTCGTGGCTCCCACGGAGGAAGGCCTCAAGGTTCTGAATCCGAGTCGGTACATCCTTCAGAAGCCTCCAGAGGGGTTCCGCTGGGAAATCTTGTTGGCCGCAGTGTTCTGTCATGATCGGTTCTCTAATGGAGACCCAAAGATGCAGAACACCACTGACGGACACAGGATGAAAAGTTTAACAAGTTTATTTGCACAATTACACTGAATATGCAGAAGGCTGGTTCGGGCCTGGATTCTGGTCTGCGTGAGAGACAGCACAGTTAAGGACTGTTGACGGGGTTTGGTTTCCAATGATGCACAGATAGTACCTTGAGGGTTCTTGAGGTTCTCTTTGGGAGAGTCACTGTTGGTTCTGGAGAAGGATTTAGTAGCAGAGTCCGTTAGCTGCTCCAGCGTCTCACATCTAGTTTGAGCAGACCTTGGCCTTGGTTTCCCAGCTCTAGCCCAGAGCTGCTTGGAGGTTGTCTGAGAATCTTCAGGGTTTGGCTCTGAGGGTCGGCTCGGCAGGTTAGCTCTTCCAGAGCTTTCACGGAGGAAGCACGAGTTTCCTAGAGGCACAGAAACAGAGGTTAGCATCCAACTAGGGATTAGAGTCATGGAGATAATCACTGAGATCTAGGCTTTAGCGCTGACCAACTGGAACAACACTGCGGCGTTGAGGCAAGATCTGAAAGCAGCTTAAGTAGTGGATCCTCTGATGATCTAGATGAGCTGCAGCTGTGCAGGAGGCTCCCTCAGAGGATCCACAGCGGACTCTGCTGGAGAAAGATGGGATTTTCTCCAGCTCCCAACAGCCTTATTGTATTAGTCTTACCTGATGTGCAATAATACAAATATCCATTTTGTTTGGATAAATTTTTAATGTTTATAATGTATGATTTATTTTTATTCTTCCCTGTTTCTTCACACAGTAAGTGTGGCTACATGGGAATAAGTCCGGTTCCAAGCAGAGAAGACAGAAATGGAGGAGAGCTGTATGGAGCTTAATTTGTCAATTGAAAATTGCATAACTTACAATATCTAGATTATAAAAAGTAATTTTAATTCCACTGAGCCACCGCCACCCCCTGTTGTAAATCTTTTATAAATCTTGGAGATTTTTTTCAATTTTTTTTCCCCAGGAGATTATAACGTTTTTTTATTTGTAAATAGCTGTTTAATTTAAAGGTTGACTGAAATATAGCTCTAGATTGAACTGTTGGCTTCCTGTTTCTATTCATTTTCCTGGACCAGATAATAAACATTAACAGTTTTAAGCCCTTTTCTCCTTTTGCATCTAACCCAACTGGGAGTCATTCTTGTAGCCGATTTTCACAGCCCAATTGGCTGCCAATTATCTCTCTTGGTCCTTGGTTTTTACAGTGTGCTTGTCAGCCTAATTAGGTAGGGCTTCAACGTTTTATTTGTCATCTGTTTTCATGATCTTAGTATCCCAAGTATGACCCCTCTTTTCTGACACCCATGCCTTACAGAAACCTGTGGCAGTTGGCCAATATAGTGCCCCACCCCACCCACTCAATGACCTTGTTTAAGACATTAAAAAAAAGTTATTAAAATGAAAGTAAAAAATTAAAAGGTTTTGAAATACATAGATATATATTTTAGGTGTGCAAGATAAATATTTAATCTTTAATGAGGAGTAAAGCTGTTTAGTTTTTTGTTGGATTGGTAATGTATTCCACCCTAGGGTGCAAAACTCTTTGGCCATAGACTCTTGTTAGAAGTTTTACATGCGCAGTAGCTCCTCTGCAATACAGAGGTAAAGAAGAGCTCAGGGCGCACCTCTCGAGCGCCCCAAGGTGGCAAAAACTGTCATTACAGTCTTGTGTGGCTGATTGACAAGACTAGTTGTGGAAGTGAAGTCCCTTAAAGCAAACTTTCCAAGAGAAGCTGAAGGTGAAACCGTTTGGACCTGATCAACCAAATATCAGAATTAATCAGCAGTCCAAAGACGCGTGGAGACAGTACAGTTGGTCTTTTTTCAGGACCTGGTTTATCTACAAGACTTGACTTACTGCATGCAGCGAGGCTAACGCTTTATTCTGCTTACTCTGCCTCCTTTTCAAACGTCAGGATCTGACCCAGCATGGATAATGACAGTATAAGGGATTCAAAGCACTTATTAGAAAAGGCATAGAAAAATAAACAATCTGGGATTCACATGGAAAATAATATTACAGTGAACTTTTTCTAGGTGTTTGTATACTTGCTCTTA